GGTGAAAATGAATAAAGTCTAGAGTTTAGTTAATAATAATATGCTAATATCGGTTTCTTAGTTTTGACAAATGTACCACAACAATGTAAGATGTTAACCTTAGGGATATACAGGAACTCTCTGTACTGTTTTTGCAACTTTTCTGTAAATTGAAAACTATTCCAAAATTAAAAGTTTATTTAAAACTCTATTACACCAATTTATAGTCCCACTAAGAGGGCATAGAAGTGTTAGTCTTACCACGACCTTGCCGACAGCAAGTATTTTTAAAAATTCAGTCCTTCAGCAAATATTTATTAAGTGCCGTCTCTGTGCCAGGCACTATCCTAGGTACTTGGGATCCGTCGTTAAACAAAGCAGACATAGATTGATGCCCTCATGGTGTTGACATTGTAAAGAAAGACAGATACTTTAGTATGTTAGAAGTAACAAGCGCTTTGAACAACAAGGATTTACTGTATAGCACAAGGAACTATATTCAATAGCTTTTAATAAAGTATAATGGAAAAGAATTGAAAAAAGGATACAGATCTATACATATATAACCGAGTCACTTTGCTGTACACCTGAAACTAACACAATATTGTAAATCAACTATACTTCAATTGAAAAGAAAAGAAGTAGGAACTTCCGTGGTGGCGCAGTGGTTAAGAATCTGCCTGCCAATGCAGGGGACACAGGTTCGAGCCCTGGTCTGGGAAGATCTCACATGTCACAGAGCAACTAAGCCTGTGCACCACAAATACTGAGCCCGTGTGCCACAACTGCTGAACCCCGCACACCTAGAGCCCGTGCTCTGCAACAAGAGAAGCCACCGCAATGAGAAGCCCACACACTGCAACTAAAAGTAGCCCCTGCTCGCCACAACTAGAGAAAGCCTGTGCGCAGCAAGGAAGACCCAACGCAGCCAAAAATAAAGAAATTTAAAGAAAAAAAAAAGAAGTAATAAGTACTTTGGAAAAATCAGAATAAGGGACAGCACGGGTGAAGGAGAGGAATAAAGGGTGGGTTACGATTTTCAGTAGGGTGATCAGGAGGCTTCACTGAGGAGGAGGCATCTCGGCAATGACTTGAAGGAGGTGAAGAGGTAAGCCATGTGGATATCTGGAGAAAAGGTTTGAGAGATAAGGTGGAAGGACAGATCGTGTATGGCCTTGTTGGGGTCACACGAGATGTGGCAGAGACCACTAAATGCTCACCCCAAACCCCAATTACTCTGCTACATTCCCCAGCCCCTTGCAGCTAGACGGGTCTATATGAACAGTTTGGACCAATGAAATGTGAGAGGAGGTGTAGTGTGTCACTTCCAGGCTCACAGGCGACAAAAATCCCACATGTGATTTTCTGGTCTTTCTTTCCCTCATCGGTATCTGTGGTCCAGAGAGTGCAGCTACAAGATGCTAAAGCCTCCATTAGCCTGGGTCACTACTGAGTAGCTACATGGAGCAGAACTTCCCCCTACTATCCTATGTGTGACAAGTGTCATGAGCTGAGTCACCAGCTGGTGGCACCCTGGAAAGACAGCCAGGCACTGTCTGGCACTGAGACTTACTATCTTCAGCTACTGAGATTTGGGGGGTGGTCATCACCGCAGCACAACTTAGCCCATCTGGCCTGACACAGAAGGACTTGGCTTTGACTCTGTGTTAACCGAATCCATTGTTCGTTTGAAAACTACAAGCGTCATTGTTTAGTTTTCATTTTTTGATAACTACTGAAATAGCAGATTCTATTTTCTAAGATGGCCATAACAAACTCTCCCAGCCCCCATGCTCTCCTTATCATGGCACCGGCCCTCCTCCCATTGAGGGTTGGCATCTATGTTCCCTTCCCTTGAATCTGGGCAGGCCTAGAACTACACTGAAAGTGAGGCTCTGGGACCTCTAAAGGTAGTCACAAATGATATGGCTTCTGCCCAGTTCTGTTGGAACATTTGTTCTTGGTAGCCTACTGCCATGCTGTGAGGAAGCTAAGGTGACACAGAGGAGTCAAGTGTAGGTTCCAGTTGATGTTCCCAGCTGAGGTCCTAGCTGACAACTAAACATGTGAGGAAGCCTTTGGGAAGACTCCAGCCATTGTCTGTCTGCAACCCCATGAGCGACCCTAAGACAGAACTGCTTGGCTGAGCTCAGGCAAGCCCAGAACCATAATGATAACGATGATGGTGATGAAGGTGATGATGGTGATGATGATGATGATGTTTTAAGCCACTACGTTTTTTGTTGTTTTTTTATAAATTTATTTATTTTATTTATTTTTGGCTGCGTTGGGTCTTTTTTGTCTGGGCTTTCTCTAGTTGCAGCAAGCGGGGGCTACTCTTCATTGCGGTGCGCTGGCTTCTCATTGCAGTGGCTTCTCTTGTTGCGGAGCACGGGCTCTAGGCACATGGGCTTCAGCAGTTGTGGCATGCAGGCTCACTAGTTGTGGCTCACGGGCTCTAGAGCACAGGCTCAGTAGTTGTGGCACACGGGCTTAGTTGCTCTGTGGCATGTGGGATCTTCCCGGACCAGGGCACAAACCCATGTCCCCTGCATTGGCAGGCGGATTCTTAACCACTGCGCCATCAGGAAGTCCCCTAAGCCACCAAGTTGTAGGGTGGTTTGTTACATAGCAATAGATAACTGGAAGAGTGAGGCTGAATATTTTCACTATTCTTACCTAATATATTGAAGTCTTTTTACACCAACATGCCACTCCTTACCAAGCCTGGCTTTTCTCTTTCCAGATAAATATGTGAAAAAGGGTGAGACAATGGATGGAACTACCAGAGATGTCCCTCAAAATGGACTCAGAACAAAAATGTTCTGGGAATAGCTGTTCAGTTAACACACGTAGGTATTCAATAAATAGTTGTTAAATGAATGAATGATCCTATCCATGGGGGGTGGGGAGATGGGAGATGTTGGTCAAAGGGTACAGACCTCTAGTTATAAGAGGAATAAATTCTGGGATCTAATGTACAGCATGGTGACTACAGTTAGCAATACTGTATTCTATACAGTTTTGAAAGTTGCTAGGAGAGTAGATCTTAAATGTTCTCACCACACACACACACACACACACACACACACACACGATAATTATGTGAGGTTTATGGAGGTGTTAACTAACCCTGTTGTGGTAATCATTTTGCAATACATACATGTATCAAATCATCACATTGTACACCTTAAATTTATACAATGTTATATGTCAATTACATCTTAATAAAGACAGAAAAACAATAAGAATGCTGTCCAAACTAACACATTGTAAAACTATACCCCAATAAAAATAAATAAATAAAATAAAATATTAATGCTGTCCACATTTCTGCATCTTGTTTAAATATATTATAATCAACCTAATGAAATGCTTTCATGAAATTCAGATGCATTATACAACATTCCCCAGAAACACCAATCCATTAAATAATTTTATTATAAAAGGCTTACAGCAAAGTTTTACTTTTTCCTTCTCTTCAGTTTCCTTTTCATTAAACAAATAAAATAATGTATATTGTATCTCAATGTAAAAGACTCAAGGAATAGATATGAAGGTAAGCTAAAACATCTGCTACCTATTTTCCCCAGAGGAAAGGTTTATTGATAGTTTGGTATGGATCCCTCCAGCCCTTCTTTATATATATTATTTGCATTTATGTATATGAACTTTTTGTGGCAGAATGTGTTTTCCAAAAATGGCCATGACACCATTTCCCATCCCACATGCTCTTCCAAAACGTTACCACACTCCCTCAGGTGGGGGCTCTGTCCTCTACCCCACAGCCTGGGCAGGCCTCCGGGCCTGTCTCACTAAGGTGTGACAAAAGTGGTGCTAGGTGACACCCAAGTCTTGTCATAAGAAGCAGTATTGATTCCCCTTGGCTGTCTGTGTTAGGACACATACTTCTAGAGCCGTAAGCCACATTGTAAGAAGTCTGGTTACCCTGAAGCCCCCATGCTGGAGAGACCACAAAGATAGACTACAGAGGGAATAGATCATAGCTTTTCTGGACCCCTGCTTGAGTGTGTGTTCCCACCCCATGTGCCAGACATGTGAGGAAGCTCTCACCTTAACCCCTATCAGAGTGTGACAGTGTGAGACCCTGAATGAAAAAGCCACTAACCATTAGCTAATTGATTAATGTACATATACCCATGTATATTATGCTTACTTGCATAAATGACCTACTATTATATAGATTGCTCTGAGACTTGCCTTTTTCACTGAGCAATTTCTGAGACTGATGTGTGTCAGTGGGCTCAGATCCACTCCATGTTTTGTAAGGCTGTGCAGCATTCCATAGCATAGATATTCCGTAACAGGGCATAGAAGATTTTCAAACATCTTTTAGCTGGGGCCTGCCTCTTCAAAGGAAAAGTATTCTTGGAAGCCCACTGTTTAAAACAAGTGAAACAAGCCGCTGGGGCCCAGACAGAGCCTCTCCTCACTACACTCCACGGAGGGAGGGACCGTCCTTGAAAGAACTCCTAGCTTTTGATGACATATTTAAAAATCACTCACCTTGGGACTTCCCTGGCAGTCCAGGGGTTAAGACTCCACCCTTCCACTGCAGGGGGCACTGGTTCAATCCCTGGTGGGGGAATTAAGATCGCACAAGCTGCCCTTGCATGGCCAAAAAAAAAAAAAATTCACTCACCTCATAGAGGGTCCAACAGTAGGTCACAGCAGTGCTTCTTGTCTGTTTTTTATTCTCTTTCTCTTTTTCTAAGGTATAATTGGCATATAACATTATATTAGGTTCAGTTGTACAACATAATGATGATTCTATATTTGTATATATTGTGAAAAGACCAACACAATCCATCACCACACATAGTTCCAATTTTTTTTTTCTTGTGATAAGCGCGTCTCAGTCTTGAATGTACATTCGAATCACCTCTGAATCTTGTTAAATGCAAGTTGTGGGACTTCCCTGGTGGTCCGGTGGTTAAGACCCCACGCTCCCAATGGAGGGGGCATGGGTTCGATCCCTGGTTGGAGAACTAAGACCCCGCATGCTGCACAGCGGGGCCAAAAAAAAAAAGGTTAAAAAAAAAAATGTAAGTTGTGATGAGTAGGTCTGGAGTGGGTCGAGATTCTCAGCAGTTCTTACCGTCTCCCAGGTGATGCCTATGCCCACTTGAGTGGTCAGGGATTAGCAAACCCCAGCTAGCTCCTGATGACCCCTGCTTTCCTCTCTCACCTACCAAAATGGTGGTGGGGGTTCTCTTTCCCTCCTCCTTATTATTATTATTTATTTATTTTGGCTGTGAGGCATGTGGGGTCTTAGTTCCCCAACCAGGGATCAAACCTGCGCCCCCTGCAGTGGGAGCACGGAGTCTTAACCACTGGACCACCAAGGAAGTCCTTCCCTAAAGATTGGAAGCTCCTATTTTCACCTCCAGTCTTTGGCTCCCCTTCTATTCTCCAGAACTCCAGAATTCCTCACAGATCGGGGGCCATGCCACCACAACCATCTGTGCAAATTCCCTCTGCGCTGCTGCGCTGCTGAACTTCACGGGGTGGAAACAGGAAGTTGCTGAACGAATGGGCTGTAGACTTGATTCTCACCTTTCCAGAACTTCAGTTCTCTCATTTCCACTTTAAATATCTGTTTTAGGAGAGAAACGGGTAGAAAACTGGAGTTGGGAATTGTGTTCCCTCTGTCATCTGTCACCATTACTCAGCCTGCTCCAGCAGAGGACCCTTTTTTGGCCCTTTCTCAACACTTTTGCTCCAGACATGACCTTCCCCCACCCCCTGCCATGAGAGAAAGAGAGAAACCTCTAAGATGGTCCACAAACCTCCACCGGGCTTTGAGCATCCTGGTACTATACCAACAGATTTGCACCACTCTGGAATCTGGCCTTGGCTACATGTGACCCTCTCCTTCTGTAGGGGATGGAAGGAGAAGGCCTTTGTAGCAAGGCACCATACATACATTATTTACATTAACTACTGTAATCTCTGCAGTACTTTATGAGTATCACCCTCACGTTATCACTGAGGAAATTGAGGATCAGAAAGGGTCAGTGACTCACCTAAGGTCACACCGCTAGAAATGACTGAGCTGGGATTGGATCTCAGACCTGCCTGACTCAGCATTTTGCCCAGGCTTTCTCTAAACCTGAGCAATTCTGAGGTCCCTGTGTGACCATGCTGGGTCTCTGAGTGCCCTTTTCTCCCTCATTGGCACTTTCAGTCCTGAATTCATGAGGATACAGTCCCAACTACGCCCTGGGGTCTCCCCTCCGTGTGGAGTCCTGGGCCCCTCCAGCGTTCCTGTAACCACGTAGTCAGGGTTCTCTTATTTGGCAACAGTGAAACCATTTTGTCCCTGACCTGACTGGGCACACACAGGCCTGGGTTGGAATCCCACAGCCACCTGTTGTGTGAATACAAACACGTTCCTTAACCTCTCTGAGCTTCAGTTTCATCATGTGTAACATGAGGATGATAACTCTATGTCAGATGGGCTATTGGAGGATGAGAATAGTGCCTCTAATGCCTTTCAGAGTGCTTGGGCATCCAGCAGGAACGAAAACAAAACAAGCTTGTACCTTTTTTATCCTCAATTTTTAAACTTTCTCATGGATCAGGACTAAGGTGGCCTCTCATTGGCCCCTGCGTCTTCGCAGCAACACAGCCCTCCAGGGGCAAGTCAGGAGTGTGTGAGATGGAGCAATTTCCTAGCTCTTACTGAGAGCAGGAGGGGGCTGAAGCACACCCGTTCCCTGTGGAATTTGGGGACCATGCCAGGACAGACCGCAAGCAGTTATTAACCAGTATGTGCAACATGTGTGAGTGGAGAGCGATGGGAGAACCAGAATTTGGCGAGACACCAGCTGGCAGGCTGGCACTCCACACGGGGAGCTGGGTATGGACCATCACGGTGCCCACCCCTCGTCACTTCCCCAGCTCCCTATCACAGGTGCTCAGTAAAACTTGAACGAAGATGCTCTTTGGGGATAGGGGCTCAGCCAATGGGGGAAGCGATAGAAGAATGGTGATGGCCCTGTGTCGACACTGCATGAAGGCCTGAGCTGCTTCCTGATAGACCTGTTAGAGGTTTGGTTGGGTGGGTGACAGGGCTCAAAGGAGAAACAATAGAGTCGTTCCTTTTGATGGTTACCACTGTCAAACTCCAGCCAACTTGAAAATAAATTTAAAGTAATAGAATAAAAATAGTGAAATACTGTGGGGAACTTCAGCTTTGAGAACACTGAGACTTCCAGGATGAGAGAGGGATCCTGCTGCCAGGCTGCCTCTCCTCTGCAGAGCCTCTGTCTGACTGGGAGGCCAGTGCAGGTTCCAGCCAGCCTCTCCTCCCATTCCAGCTCCTGCCAAGCTTCTACCCTCCGGCCTTTGCAGTTCTGCAGAAGCTCCTACCTTTTAGTGGATGGGGCAAATCCTTGACCCCTTCTATCACCCGATGAAAAAATGCTTGACCTGGTCTTTTGTCCCCTACCTCCCGTCCCCACTCCCAACAGCCCTCAACAGATAGTCTGGAGCTTCCCTGGTGGCGCAGTGGTTAAGAATCCACCTACCAATGCAGGGGACACGGGTTCGAGCCCTGGTCCGGGAAGATCCTACATGCCGTGGAGCAACTAAGCCCGCGCGCCACAACTACTGAGCCTGCGCTCTAGAGCCTGGGAGCCACAACTACTGAAGCCTGCGCACCTAGAGCCTGTGCTCTGCAACAGGAGAAGCCACTGTAATGAGAAGCCCGCGCAACGCAACGAAGAGCAGCTTCCGCTCGTCGCAGCTAGAGAAAGCCCGTGCGCAGCAACGAAGACCCAACACAGCCAAAAATAAATTAATTAATTACTTAATTTTTAAAAAGAGATAGTCTGATGAGTACCTCACAGGCAAGCCCACACAAACAATCATAGCATCCTGGAGAAGGACCATACACACACTCATTAACACGTGGAGTGACAAGTACACCTCTCCTCTGTAACCATCATGAGGAGGATGCGAGAGGGAGCCTTGAGCTTTGTCCACTCTGTTCCTTTACTGTCTCCTTGCCTCCCCTGCCCCCTACAAACGGTGCCAGGGCCCCCTCCTATGCCGCCACACAGGTACAGCCTCTGGTTGCTTAGCAACGGCGTGCCTCTTCCCCCTACCTCAGCAACCTCCCCTTGTAGCTCTAGTAGCAGCCACAGCAGGGAGAGCCAGGCTGGACCTGCCAGGAGTTGCTGCTGCTGCTGAAAGGGAATGTGTGGGAACAAGCCCCCAAATAGGCCCAGGTGTGAAACCCAAGGTTCTTTTTTAACACACAGGTCCCACACTGACTCTCGGAAAGTCCTGCCACCCTCCCCTGTCCCTAGCTTCTGCCAGGCTGCTGGTTCCCCCTCCCACACTGGACATCTCACCCCGCTGCTGTGCTTTCTCTGCCCTGGGTCTCTGGATCTTCCCCATGTGGTCTGTTCCCCTCTTGAGGCGCAAGGCCCCTTGTCCTTTGTCATCCTATAACTCCACATCCACATGTGTTTGTCTCTGGGGTCTCAGTGGCTGTCTTAGGCTCTCTTTCAGCCCCTCCTGCTCAGACTGAGTAACTGCCTGTCTCCCCTTCACTAACACCAATCCCCTCACTCCCCACCTCCAAAGACTGGTCACTGGGATGACCCCATGTTGCCCCAGCAACCATGACCACATCCCTTGTTACCACCTTTCCAGGAAAGGTCTGTGGCGGGAGGGGCTTCACCGAAATGGCCCCCAGGGGAATCCTGCTTTCTGCACTCAGCCTGCTCTGGGCTTCAGTTTCAATGGAAACTGACACTGGACTTCTGGCCAACTAGAAGAAGACCGGGTCCAGAAAAGAAAGAAAGTCCTCCCTGCTGCCTTCCCTCCATCCGATCAGCTACAATGTCAGAGTCCCCAAGAGAAGCTCCTGAAGAGACTCAGCGCCTGCAGTGGGCAGGAACCTGCCCCACCCAGAACAGTGCTGCCCAGCCCCCAGCTGATAGAGTGCCCTCCCAGGGCATGGTGTCCACCCCCCTGTCTGTTTCCACCTGACCTGACCTCTTTACCTACACTCCCTGCCACCCCACCTCCCTCAATCCCTTAGGCTTGGGTTTGACAATATTACCTGTGGGTTAAGAACCAGGACTAGGGAGCAGTCAGCAAAGAGATGGCTGAGAGGAAATACTTTGAGTAAAGGGAGACCGGGTGGAGCCCAGGCACGGCAGGGTTGGAGGGATGCTGAAATGAGAGCATGAGGGAGATTTAGGGAGGGAGACCTGGATTCTCCTCTTCTAGCAGAGGAAGCCAGCAAACAGCAGATGGAACTTTCAGGCAGGAGGCTGGACTGAGTGACCTCACCCAAACCCTGTGGTCTGCTGCTTTTGCAACCTGGCGAGTCTCCCAGCTCTCCTGGGTCCCCAAGTAGGAGAGCTTTTTATAGTTCACTCCCCAACTTGGGTTTGAATAATTAAACAAGATGGACAGAAATAGTAGCCGGACAGCTAAGGCGGGTTATTTTGGGGTTTTCTGGAACACAGAGTGCTCCTGGGCGGCACCCTACCCCCGCAGGGGGTGGAGCCAGCATGAAGGCCGATGGGAGATTCCTGTGGGGGAAACCCACCCGCACCCCCCAGGGTTCCTTGGGTTGACAGGTTTGCTCTCAGCCAGAGGAGGGTCTCACCACATCTTCCTGGTCTTCAAGGAAGGAGAGGGGTCTCACTGCCTTCTGCTCATAGCTCCTCCCCTGGCAGGAAGTCCCTTCTGTTGTCTGTCAGCCCTTCTACTTCAGAGATGGTGACAGATATTGAAAATCAGATCGATAAGCAGCTTCAAGACAGGCTGAACCAGGACGAGGTGGCTACTGCTCCTCTGGCCAAGGAGCTGGAATCAGGTGATAGGAGGTCTTGCGTCCCCCTCGCCCTCCACTATAACTGTTGGAAAACTGTGGAGGGAATGAGGGTTGGAATGGGGGATGGGAGGCAGAGCTGGGGAGACGAATTGATGGGGGGACAGACTAGGCTCCAGGGAAGAAAAGGCCAAAGATGGATTAGTGTTGGGGCTGAGAAACTCTGAAGGGGCAAGAAGCTCTCTTCTAGCTCCCTAGTGTCCTGTGTTCCTGGCAGATGCCCAGCCTGGGTTTGCTGGGACAGGGTTCTAGCAGCTGGGGATGGGGAGAGGTGGGGAGGGCCCCTTCAGGTCTCCATTGCAGACCAATCATTTGAGGCTTGTTTGCATAATACTTTTGGTTCAACCACAGAGATTAGGGCCTCACCCCAACTCTACCTTGAGGCTCTACCACAGAGCTTAAAACCTGGGGCCAGAGGGGGCACTTGTAATGTTTTCTCTCTTTGGTAACAACTTCAGGGGTGGGTTTGGAGGTCAGATTTCAGGAAATACTGAAATACTCATTCATTCATGTTTATTCATTCAACAAACATTTTAAAAGCACAAACTGTAAGCCTTGCATTGTGTTGGTGCTGGGAATAAATTAGTATGGCAAGCTCCTTGCTCTCAAGAGGCTTGAAGTTTAGTGGGGGAGATGGCCATCTTAAAACCTGCTCTCCACCATTATTGAGTGCTTACTATGCATTAGATACCATATAGGAACTTCACAAAAATTGTCCCATTTAATCCTCATAACAAATCTGTGGTCTAAGTGGCATTAGCCCCATTTGACAGTTATTAGAACCAAGATGAAGAGATTTGTCCAAAGTCACTCAGCTTGTAAACTATATAAATGGAACTGGAACCTACGTTTATGTGATTCCAAGTTCGGGCTCCTAACCACTGCCCTTGTGGTCGCTAATGCCTGGAAGGAAGATGTAAATTCATTAACGCCGTGGGTGTTCAAAAGAGAGTGAGATTGCCTTTAGCTTCGGGTATGTGCTACGCGTGGCTGGGTGGGGCAATCAGGGAAAGCCTCCTAAAAGAGGTGGCTTTGCATCCTACTCAATTCATTCTACAAATACTTAAATTGAGTATCTACTACGCCCTTGTTGTTGGTGCTGAGGATCCCGAAGTGACCGAAGTCCTTGCGCTGTGGACATGCTGGGCAGGGATAGAGGAAAGGCCGAAATTATAAGTGCGCGAGTCGTAAATGCCAAGTTTCCTTTACCCTCAGAGTTGTTCTGCTCCTCCCGGGTTTCTCTCCCAGAAGCAAATACCCAAACTTCTGGGGAATCTAGAGGAAAGGCCTGTCCGTCCTACTCTGGGAAGTCCTTCCTAACGTCTATCCTGCATTTCTTTCTGTTCCAACAGAGTTCCCCACCTCCCATTTCATTCCTCTTTTTCAAGGCCAAATCTCACAGCACTAACCCGGCAGTCCGAGAGCGTCTGGCCCTTTAAGGCCACCTTCTTCCCCCCACGTGCCGTCTGGTTGGGCTGGCGACGCTGACGCACGCGTGACGTCAATGGCAGCTGGCGGAGTCTGGGCACGAGGAGCGAAGATGGGGTGGGGGTGGGGGGGCAAAAGCGAGAGGGCGGTTCATTTGCATTTAAAGGGTCCACTCCAGGGTTAGCGATCAAGGCTTTAAAGAAATGTGTATTTGGAAAACTTTCCGTCTTGCACTATGGGGCAAGAAAAAGGCGTGGTATAGCTAAAGTCGGTGGTGACTCAAGTTTGCAATGTCAATTATGTCCTTCCGCGGGAAGGGGGAAATAGTCCGTCGGTGCCCGGGCTGGAACCACGTGACATGGAGGGGGCGGTGGGGGGTGGGGAGAGGGAAGAAGGGAGGAGCTGGGGAGACGACTGTCAGGCTTCGTTTCAGCTGCCCCCACCCCCACATCCTGCCCACCCTCCTGCAGCTGCCACCACATCCTGCCCAGCCGGGGGCAGGGAACTCGTGGGGGGGGGGGGCACTCACCCAGGACACAGGTTAGGCACCCCTTCCCTACCTCTTTCAGTTCCAGGGTGGGGCGTCTGCCCTTTGCCCTGGGCCTGGCCCCAGGCACCCTGGCACTGAGCTTGGAGCACAGTTCTGCCAACACAGTCTTGGACACCTCTCTGCCCAACTCCGCCCCGCACCCTGCCCCCGCCCAAAGCGGGACTTGTTCGGTCCCAGATCAGAGCCCCATCCCTGGACTAGCACAGTTATCAATAGACAATTAGAAGTGTTCAATAACGTTTTTATAGTCTTAACTCAGATACACAGCTACAAACACATATACAGATTCATGAAACAGACTTTTGCTGAGCACATTCCATGCCAGGCCCTGAAAAGCCCTGAAGACTCAAAGTTGAGTTAAACTGCTGCCCTCAAGGAGTTCAAAATCTAGTGAAGGAGAGTAAATTAGAAACCAAAAATGTCAGTACAATGCAGTGGGTACTGATGAGGTAGATACACAGAGTGGAGAACACTATACAGAATCAGAGGTACAGGAAGACACACAAGTCGAAGGATCACCAGTATATTACCCATGCTGATGGCCCTTCCCCTCACAAGTGAGGTGGAAGATGGGAAAGATTGGGAGCCTTTGCTGGGATTACTGGAAAACTGGGAGGAAGAATGATCAGCCCAATGGAAAGTATGACATGGATGGAGGTGAGGATGGAGATTGTCCAAATGACTGTGGAGAAGGCAAGAGGGTTAACCAAGCAGCCAGTTAGAGGCTGAAACAGTGGTAATGGCTTCCCATAGTTATGAAACAACAGTCAGGAGAGAAGCAGCCCTTGTGGATGAGGAAGACCTTTCCAAATTAAGTTGGATAGGGATGCTTGGGGAGGTGTGACTAAAGGAAGCTATTGATGTCCCTTTGCCATATAAATTGATGAAGATTATACTGTACTGAGGAGTTTACACACACTTTTTAGGACTTTGGTGGGCATCTGTCCGACTCACAGGGGATTTTATAGCAACGTTAGTTGACTTTTCTCTAAGAAAGATTGAGTTGGTAGTCAGAGGGAGAGAAGGAAAAATGAGACCCAGCCATCTGAGCCTGCCTAGGCATTTTCCACCTAGCACATCCTGGGATGGGTAGTCCAGGGGCTAGAAGAAAAAGATGTAGTGAGTCATTTTCAGGAAGTCTTTATTATAATCTAACTTCCAGCAACACTCCCTAGATCCTTTCTTAGTTCTCCATGGAAATCAAGACCTCATGTTTGTTACTTTTCCTTTCCTATGAAGTTCTCTCTATAAATACATGTATATGTAAATTCTATTCTACTTGTAATGTCAGCCTCTCCTGCTCTTTCCTACTCTGTTTTCTAGTGGATTATCATTTCAGCATCTCAGGGTCCAGGACACTCCATCTCCCCCACTGAGCTTTTCCCTGCCCTCCTTTCTCCCCCCCTGCTCTTCCTGGCCCTTTAACACCCTCCTAGGTGACTCACCTACCTTCCTTCCTCATTCCTTTATTTAGGACCCAACATTCCAAGGCAGGGAGGACCAGGTGGCCAATCACAGCCCTGGCAAACCTACCTCGGGCTTGAGATTGGCTGGAGCTGTGGTTGGCGGGAGGCTCACCACTCAGATCTGTAGGATGTTGGGGAGGGGGTTTCTGGGAATCAGCCCTGGGAAATAATTTGTTCTGGGGCTGCTAATGGTTTTGAAGAGAATCCTTCCAATAGAGCTGGGGCCAGAGGGTCTCTAGCTTGAGAGCCTCAAAACTGGAGGCAGGCTGAGAACCCAGCTTTCTCAGTGTCCTGGGGGCTTGGCTGCCCCCCTGCCCACTTTTTTTTCCTGTGATCTGGGACCCAGTGGTCTGAAGGCTGAGTTCCCAGGCCTGTTCCTAAGAAGTCTTTTCCAGCAGCCCTGGATCTCTCCAGTCTCAACATTCTGCTTTCCCGACGTCGGAAACAGCCGGAAAATAAACACCCTGATGACTAAACGGTTTCTCCAGCTCGAGCCTGGGGAAGCACTAAAAATAGAGGCCACAAGTGAGGGGAGGTTCCCCACTTGAGGGAGGGGGGGCACTTTCCCATCCTGCTATTGCCACAGCCCCAGGCCTGGCACAAGACTCTGTTCTTCTCAGAGTCCTTGGGGACAGGGCAGATGGGCTCCCCCTGCCTACACTGAGGTCCTTCAGGCAAGCTAGCCCTGCCTGGTAGGGAAGACTGACATCTTCTGGTGCTGGGGCCCCATCTCTCAAATCTAATGAGGAACTAAGAAGCTATGTTTGGGGACAAAGTGGAACACTCTAAATCAGGTTTCGTGAAGGAGGGGCCAAGTGGAAGAGTTGGAAACTGAGGCCAAGGAAATAGGAGCTTGCTGGCTTCCTGTCTTAAAGCATACAAGATAAGCCTCCAACCTATTTGCAAAGCAATTCCACTGAACTTGCCTCCGCTAATGCTTGTATGAGATAATGGGCCTAAAGGGGGTCTTGACAGTCCAGCCCTTGAATTATTATAATGCAGCATGAGGTACTGTTCAAAGCAATCTACTTGTATGAACTAATTTAATCTTCACACCAATTTATGAGTTAGGTACTATTACCAAAATCTCTATTTTACCCATGAGGATCATGAGGTACAGGGAAGTTAAGTAACGTGCCTCTGTTCCCAGTTAATAAATGGTGGAATAAGGATTTGAACCAAGGTAGCTTGACTACTCCAAAGTTGATGCCTCTTATCACCATAACATGCTGCCTCTTTCGGGATATATTCGTCTCTTCAGCCCTTAACCTAGAATTGAGTCTTTGTCCAGTAAATCAGACCCAGCCAGATAGAAATCAGGGTGTGTGAAGAACTGAGTGCCCTTCTGTTCTCCAAGGTTCTTTGAGATCTAAGCCAGATTCCATCATTTCCTCAAGCTCAAGGTAGGAAGCAGACATTGGAGTAACAGGGATGCTGGGAGAGGAAGTCTGATGGGTCAGTTGTCCAGTAGGCATGGCACCCACACTCCTGTTGCAGGGCACGAGAAGATTCACCACACCCTGGAGCAAACAGGAATTAAAAACTTTTTAAAACAGCTACAACTGCTTCTTTAATAAGATGCTTTGGGGCGTTTCCTGTGCTGGGGAAATTAGGGTCACACCCCTTTAAATTGCCCCCCTCGGCTGTTCTGGGGCCGCAGGCACTGGGGATTAGGTCACCCACGAACTATGAGCTGTCGCTTTAAATTGATGGGCGTCTGCCGAGCCGGGCTCCGGGAGGGGAGGGGGCCTGTCTCAGGTAGAGGGAGCAAGCGAGCTCTCCAGGTAACCCCCCAGAAATGAACGTGTCCCTTTAAGTGGAGCTTCGGCACACCCTAAGTGAGGAAGATGGAATCTTTTCAACACTTAGCGTCTACCCTTAATTTATCTACTTAGACTCCCACCTCCCAAATCTCCTGGGGCTTGGGGGATGGGGGGAGCTGTCGAGGTAGAGTGTGTGTGTGTATGAGAGAGTGTGCACGCAGTCCGAGGAAGCTCCCGGGAAAGGACCTCCTCGAGCGCACGGTGGCAGCAGTGCTAGGCGGCCGTCCGGCCAGCTCGAAGCGGGGGCACCACGGGCGCGGGCCGATCCCTTTAGGGGCCTCTGGGTCTCGCGTGCCTACTTTGCCTCGGTCCGTCGCTGTCTCCCTCCCTCCCGGCTGGCGGAGGGATCTGCCGCTCCCGGCGCCGCAGCCTAGCTTGGAAGGGCGGTGGGGTGGGGGCCGACCCGGCCCGGCTCGGCCGGCCCGAGGAAAGCGAGGGGCGGGGCCGCGTCCCTGGGACCGCCTTTACTCCGGCCCCGCCCCCACGCCCCCACGGGTTCCTCCCATTGGCTCCCCGCCTGTCCATCACCCCTGTTCCCCCCACCCCTCAAGCTAGGCTGAGCTGTGCCTACGTCGGCCTTGACTCTTGGGGGCTGGAGGAGTTACCTTTGGAGCCCGAAAGGAGGAAGGAAGGAAAATATCAACAACAGCCGAGGCGACTCGGACGCTCGGCCCGGGTCCCCCGCCTGCCTGCCCGCCCCCGCGCCCAGGACGGGGGCCTAGGCCCCCCGGCGCCGCCCAGGGCCCGCGCGGACGCCGGCCTCATTTATTATTCCCCCCGCCCGGAGCTGCGGCTTCCAGGTGCTGAAGATCCCCCGGACTAGGGGCGAGGGCTACCCCCTCCCAGCCGTGACACCCCCCTTCCCCCAGTGGGGCCGGTGAGTATAGAAAAATAATGAGCCTGCCGCTTTAAGAGGCCCCCTCCCCCACCCCGTCCTGGGGTTGGGGTGGAGGGTGGTCTAGACCGTCCCCCTGAGGGGTGGAATGGGGTGGCCTTCTGGACTGGGAGGAACTCGCGGAGCGGGCTGTTTTCGTGTGGCGTTGGTGGGAGATTATATGGGGGACTGTTTGGGTGAGGGAGTCGGCTGTGGGGACAAGTGGAGTGGGCTGTAATTCCCTTGGGTGTTGGGGTCGGGGTGGGGACCGGGGGCTTGGGGGCGCGCCGGTCTGTTGGCGTCCGGGGGTTTAGGGCGATCCCCGAGTGGTCTGGGAAGGGGCGCCATCCTCAGAGGGGGTCTCTGGTGACAGCCGGGAGCGACTGACATTTTAACAGCCGGCCCTCCCTCCCTCTCCCTCCTCGCGCCGCCTGTTCCCTCCTCCTTGGCCCGAAATGGTGCAGAAGGGGGCCTGGGAGGGCGGCGGGAGGGTGGGGGCGGGGGGAGCCGCAGCTGTTTGGGAAGCGGGGGAGGGAGGGGGGATGTTGTTCAGATGACACCAGGGTGGTGGGTTGAGGTGTGTGAGTGTGTGTGTGTCCGGGGCCCGGGTTTGCCCGGCGCCTGTGGAGCTGGGACGCGGAGTCACCACGGAGGTGGGCACGCAGGACCCTTCCTTGGGACCTCCTAGCCCGCTCCCGAGACCCCTGATCTGGTTTGTCAGCAGCCCCAGCCGGAGAACCCCCGGCCAGAAGTTTGCAGCTGTTCAGCATCTGGGCAAGAGTTCTCCAGTCCCTCTCTCCACCTATGGCTAGCTGAACTGGGCTGGGAGTGGGGGTCTAGTGAGTGTTGGGGGGCTTTTGGGGAGGGAGGGCCAAAGAGGCTAAGATGCATCTAGTCTCTCACCCCAGTGCTAGCCCCTTTCCTATCAGTTTTGGTCTTACAGGGCCCCCCTAGTGATCACTAGGCCAAAGGGCCTAGTGATTGAAGCTCATCTCTCAGTGGCCTCCTGAGGTCTCTCCCCAATGAAAGGAGGGCTCCTGAGTGTGGGCACCTTTGGAACCACTGACTCGGTTATCCCAGGTTTGTCCTTTGAGTGGGGGACTCTCTCTGCCTTCGCTTAAGCAGCCCATTGTTGATGGGTTGGGGGAGGGTACAGTGGGTGGATCCTGTGTCCCCCTTCTCAGTGCTCAGCCCCCTTTTGAGATTTCCTTGTAGGCCTGGTTTCTTTGGTTTGGGGGAGTGGCCCTCTGCTGCCCCTTCCCCCATCCCCTCAGTGGGTGTCCTAGGCAATTCAGGGGCCAGCCTGGACTATGGGAAGTTTACCGTCTGGGGCGGTGACCTTGGGCTGCTCTGGCCTCGAGATAGCAGGGGAGCCCTGGCCAGCAGAACATTGGGTATTTTGAAGTTAGGGAGCTGTCCACCTCCCGCTCCCCTCCAAACCCCCAACAGAGAAGTCTTAGTAGTCAAGGAGAGCATTGAAAAAGGCACATGTCAGTGTTCACAGATGTCTACCCGCCTGTGGCCGCCGGGTCACACCCGCCCCAGGACTTAGCCTGGCTGTCCCAGCTCCCACGGCCTGCCTGGGAATGAATTTCCTTCCTGTGGTTTCCCAGTGTGTTGGGCAGGAGATGGGGGTGGGGTGGGATCAGTGTGAGGGTGGCTGAAGACCCGTTTATATGGAGTGATTGGGGGTTCACAAGAGCTTATGTGTAGCTCTTTCTCCACTTTCCCCAGCAGACATTTGGACCCTTGGGTCTCAGTGGTCATATTCTCTTTGTTGTAACTTCCCTGCCACCCCTCCCCCAACACAGCCTGTGTGTGTTAGTGTATTTGTGTGTATATGTATGTATATGCGTGTGCATTTGTAAAGGGCAGGGTCTCTGGTTTCTCTGGGAGAAGGGGGAGCTTTCACTTACATACCTTTAGAGGCCAGAGAGGTTGTTTTTTTTAATCTGAGGTCACACAGCAAATCTGTGTCAGAGCTTTAGTCCAACCACCACTCTTTCAGGCATGGCTTCATAGTAGGGAGAGACCATAGGAAAGAAGACACAGTCCTTCCCCTTGGAGGCCCTGGTCCAAGTGGAGAAGCAGGACCCTTGTGTTGGGGGATGGGCATGAGAGGTTGGGCTGGATTCTGTCTGCTGTGCCCAGTGCCTGGAATAGAGTAGTGGAGGACATGAGAGGGTGGCGGGGACTGCCCGTTGTCTACACCACTCTGTACCTGCTGTCCCTGGACTGGAGGAGCCTGGGCTTCCCAGCTCTGCCCCTCTTGGCTCCTGGTTCTTCTCATAGGCTCGGAGATATGATAGTCTTTCTGGCTGCTGTTACATAATCTCGCCAGAAGCTTTTTTTTTTTTTTTTTTAATCTTTCCTGGGTCTTTCCTGGGAGGTGTGATGAGGGGAGAAGGCAGAGGGTAGACTCCCCAGGTTGGGGCTGGAGGACCAGTAGCAAGGAAGCTGGGAGAGGCCTCCTGGCCTCTGAGGGGGACAGGAAAGAGGACACCTTGGGTTTAGGCCCTCATTGATTGTGACCTAGCCTCTCCCACCCTCCTCCCCGACCCTGCCCTGGGAAGGTCTCCCTGCTGTGGGTATCCCTGGGCCTTGTGCCCCCAGAGAAGCCTGCCCCTCTGCTCATCCTGTCAACCTTCTTCTTCTGGCCAGCTGGGCCCCTTGCCCTCCCCAGTTGGCTTTGGTCCAGAATCTCAATGCTTACCCTGGCCTGGTATGGGAGGGCCCTGTGTTGGACACTTTGCCACCCACTTCTGTACCTCTGTGGGGGCAAGAGGAGTCAAATGGAACAAATGGGTGGGTCCAGCATTTCCCTAGTTGTATTTAAAGCCAGGATCCCTGCTTCTCTGCCCCTCTAGTCCAGAGGGTGGTGGCCTTACTGGAGAAGGGGAGCCAGTGGGGGATGTGTAATAGAGGCCTCGACCTCTTGGGAACAAGTCATAGTTGGTGTTCGGCTGGGTCCTGGAAGTGGGTAAGAGGATCAGACATGGGCCTAGAATCCATCCTCAAGGGTCAGCCTATGGGTCTTGTGGCACTGTGGTGGTGGGTTCTCCCCACCCCTTGCGATCATAGCTGGGACTCTCCAGGCTCTCTGAGGCCAACTGGTTTGAGGCAATTATCTCCCTTTTAGAGGGAAGGAGGAGATGGTGGCAGGGCCAGCATAGCCTCAGCATCACTGTAATCTCTGGTGACTTTTATGAGCCAGTCATGGGGCCGGAGTCCGGCCAACCGTCTGTCCTTCTGTCCCAGTTTGGTGACTTACTCATGGGGTGAGGGGGAGGTGTTAGGTGCTAGTAGTTCTGTTCTGGGAGCTGAAAACCTTTCTGTGGTTGATGTTCCACTGTCTGTCCGCAACTGCAGCAGGCAGAATGGAGCTTAGACTTCAGGAAGAACTTATCAGTGGAGATAGATGGGAGAGAGAGAGAGAGCTCTAACTTGGCTTGGGAAGGATGGGATCTCAAAATACTTTCTTCGCCAGTGGCTCTTGGTGGCTCTGCTGAAAGGCCTTGAACTTTGGCCTAGTGGGGATGGTGCTGTTTGGCTCCTGTAATATTTATTTTCTCTTCTTCCCCCATGCCTGGGACTGAAAGTATCCTGAGGAGAGTTTGTCCTGAGAGCTGTGGGATGGCTGGCCTTTGGGCTCCTTTCCCCTGAAGGGGGCGGGGTGGGGGTCTTGTGCAGACTGGCATGCCCAGATGCACCTGGCAGGTCCACAGCATTTAGTGGCACACATGCATGGAGGTGTGCAGCACACACACACGAGCGTGTAGACACCCATGAAGCAGCTGCTCCCTGTAGCGGGTGGGGGTAGCGAAAGGCAAAGATAATTGAAAGATTGGAGACTGGGGACAGGGTGAGGGGACTGGAGGCAAGAAGGCAGAGGCATGCACAACTCTGAAGAGAGGAGTGTTGACTCGAGCAAGAGGGATTGGGTTTAGACCTAGAGCGTAGCGTGTGAGTTGGGGAGCCCTGGCTGACTTCCCTCACTGCCCCTTGCAGCATTCCACCCCCGCCACCATTTTTCCCTCTCTGTGCCCCTGGCTCAGCCTGCCTCAGCCCCTCACTCGAACCGTATGTCCTTGGGTAAGTCTGCTTTCCAGATGTACAGGAGTTTCACTTAGCCTTGTGGTGAGCAGAGCACCTGGGTGTTTTGGTGGTTTGTCACTGGTCTCTTTTGCCCTCCCCACTCATCCAGATAAGCAAGGCCATTCTGAGGTATCAAGGTTACATCTGAGCCCTCAAGCATTTGGGGGCCAACTCCTGGCCTGGGTGACCCCCAAGACCCTTTGCATCTGATTTTTCCTTTTCTTGAGGCTGTAGCCGCAACCTCTCCTTCCTGGGAGCCTAGTCATGCTTCTCTGGCTGGTCCTGCCTGGTGTGGAGACAGGGGGATGCATTCACTGACTCTGCACAGGACCCTGATAGCCTGGGGTTGAGGGGTGGCAGCTGTGCCTATTGTCTGATCTCTCTCCCCTCTGTTGTAGGCTGGGAAGGGAAGGACTTGTATGGAGCTCTGGCCTGTTGCTGGCCTCAGCCAGGTGGGACCATATTTACTCATTTAAACTCACCTTCCC